GTGCCTTAGGCACTATGCTACCAGAGCTCCCTATCTATATATATGTTGTTATGTGTGGTCGAGTGGGACCGACTCATAGCGACCCCTCCTTGGGTTTCCGAGGCAGTATCACTACGGAAGTAGATTGCCCAGCCTTCCTTCCAAGGAGTGGTTGGTGGGTTTGAACTGCCAGCCTTCTGGTTACCAGTCAAATGCCTTAGGCCCCAGGCCACCAGCGCTCCCTTTCTATATATATATGTAGTGTTGACAGCTTATCTGAAATTCCGATTTAAGTGGCTGCCCTGTAATTTTCATTTGCTCAAGCAGGCAACTCTAATGTTCCTTTTTCTAGAACGACTTTTGCCCTCTGCAAAGCTCTGCTCTCAGCTCCGGGGCATGGGTGCCTCTCCCTGGCGCGGCTGGGACCCGTAAGACCCCTGCCAGCATGTTGGACCCGTTGGTCGGGGTGGAGGGTGAAAGCCAGTGTTGCCTTTTCTGTTCTCCTGAATTTCCTTCTAGGGATGGGCTGCTGTGGCCGGCAGTGCCAGCTTCCAGACGGCCTGTGGGGAGGGCTCTGTCTCTGCTTCCCAGACAGCTGGGGTCCCACCAGCCTGCCCAGTGGGAAGCTCGCGGGGCATCTCTCCCCCTCTCTCTCTTACTCTTCCTCCCTGTCTTACTCCGTCTCTCATCCTCTGCCCCCATCCCCTCTCCCCTTCCCTCTCTCTCATCCTCTCTCTCCCACAACCTAGTTGCCTGTCAGGCAGCTTGCTGACAGAGGCCGGGTGGAGTCACTCCGGGAGGCGGCCTCAGCCTTGGAGGAGCCCCTGGTCAGTGCTTCCATGCTCTCCCCGTCTAGATCGCCCTGGCTCCCTACCAGCACTTGGAAGCGGACATGAACAGTCTGAAGCAGGTGTTGGAGATGAAGAACCAGCAGATACACCAGCAGGAGAAAAAGATCATGGAGCTGGAAAAGCTGGTGAGTGGGTGTGTCTGCAGGAGCCCGCGGCCACCTCCGACCTCCGTGCGCCGCCCCCGCTGCCGCCCTCCACGCAGCGCTCCAAGCGCATGCGCCATGCCTGCTGGGGCTTCCGTCTGAGCGGAGGCCAGGTCTTCAGTCTGAAGCTGGGAGTTTGGATAAGAGGTCGCTTCGGTTTGCATGCCTCTGGAGCCCTGCTGATGGCCTGCTTCCAGCCCTCGAATCCCGTTTCCTGCCCTTACCATCTTCCTTCTTTCCTGTGGGTGCCCTCTTTCCTCCTCCATTGAGACTGACAGCCTTGGAAACCCACTGGGGCAATTCCACTCTGTCCTCTAGGGGCGCTGTGGGTCAGAATCAACTCCACGGCAGTGGGTGTGGTTTGGGCTTTGCTTCTGTGAAGATTGACAGCCTTGGAGACCCTGTGGGGCAGTTCCACTCTGTCCTCTAGGGGCGCT